AGGAATTTCTGGATTTTGGACTTGGAGTTAAGACTTTGGCTGTGATATGATGGGGTGAATATGTTTTCTATGTTGCAAGGTTGTGATTTTTAGGGGGCCAAAGGGTGGAATGTCATGGTTTGAATTATGTCCCCCAAAAAATGTGTGTATCACTTTGGCTGGGCCATGATTCCCAGAATTGTGGTGGTTGGCCTCCATTTTGTGATTGTAATTTTATGTTAAAGAGGATTAGGGTGGGACTGTAACCCTACCCTTACCCAGGTCACATCCCTGATCCAATGTAAAGGGAGTTTCCCTAGGGTGTGGCCTGCACCACCTTTTACCTCACAAGAGATAAAAGGAAAAGGAAGCAAGCAGAGAATTGGACCTCATACCATCAAGAAAGCAGTGCCGGGAGCAGAGTGTGTCCTTTGGACTGGGGTCCCTGCGCAGAGAAGCTCCTAGTACAGGAGAACACCGAAGAGAAGATGGCCAACAGAGAGAAAAAGCCTTCCCCTGGAGCTGACGCCCTGAATTTGGACTTTTAGCCTACTTTGACTGTGAGGAAATAAACTTCTCTTCATTAAAACCATTCACTTGTGGTATTTCTGTTGCAGCAGTACTAGATGACTAAGACAGTAGTAAAGCACTTAACCGTTTGCACCACCCAGAGATGCCTGTGTTATATCCATAGAGCTATTAAAAAGAACATGACAAATCTATATTGTACTGCTCCTTAAAAGCCCTTTTCTCTGCCTTATTTAAAAAAAAATTTAATTACAGTTTACATATAATTTTGTGCTCCCAAATTTCCCTTTTTTACAACTATCATTTTATAATAAGCATTTTTCCATATTACTAAATTGTCCACACCATCATCATTTTAATTGCTGGCATAATACTCCATGGAATGAGTGTTTCTTAATTATCTGTTCATGTGTTGTTGGACATTTAGGATCTTTACATTGTATGCATTTTTATAAATATCACTGCAACAAATAACTTTGTTGCACATAGCTTTTATACATATGTTTGATTACTTTATATGGATAAAGTCATATAAGTGGTAAAGCTAGGTTAAAAGGAATAAATACGTTTATGGCTTGTAATACAACCTGCCTTCCAAATATACATTAATTTATATTTCCATTAGCAATGTATCAGCCTCAGCTGTCTCCATTTGAATTCTTTGTTTGATAATTTAATAAGTAAAATATTAAATCTCATTTTGTTTTTTATTTCTTTGATTGTAAGGTAAACATTTTTCTGTATGTATGTTAATTAGTATTTGCCTTTTTTGTAAATTGTCTATTAATGTTATTTGACCTTTTATCTCATGAGGTCTAGTCTATATAAATAGAATAAAATCAAACCAAACCCGTTGCTGTCGAGACAATTCCAATCGTGTTGCTCTAAGAATGGCCAGTAACTACCATCTGGGTCAGGACATTCCAACTACCTGAGTTATTTCTCTCTTTCTCCCACTTGCTTTCAAAGATTAGCCCCAAGGTTCTCACTAGGTTTGTCTTTGAGAGTAAACAAATGGAGTACATCTGACTCGATTCCCAGTATTACCTCCCATTCAGGACGTAACCTGAAAAGCAGTCTATTGGAAGCTTTTACACCTAGTCTCCATTTATCTTTGCCTGAGAAACTCTCTATAACAGTTTTGCTCAGGTATAAAACTAAAACTAGTTGCTGTGGAGTCCATTCGGACTCATAGGGATCCTATAGGACAGAGTACAACTGCCCCATAGGGTTTTCAAGGCTATAAATCTTTACGGAAGCAGACTGCCACATCTTTCTCCTGCATAGTGGCTGGTAGGTTCGAACCGCCAACCTTTCAGTTAGCAGCCAAGTGTTTAATCACTTTGCCACCAGGGCTCCTTATTTGCTCAAGTATGTTAAAGTGTAATTAACAAAACAATTGTCATCCAGTTAGTTCTGACTCATGTAGACCCCATGTGCGTCAGAGTAGAACTGTACTCTACTGGGTTTTCAATGGCTGATTTTTTCGGAAGCAGATCACCAGGCCTTTCTTCCAAGACACCTCCAGGTGGACTCAATCTCTAACCTTTCAGTTAGCAACTGAGCACTTAAATCATTTGCGCCATCCAGGGATTCCAAGGTGTAGTTTACATACCGTAAAATCCCCCCTTTTCAAGTGTACAGTTTTGACATATGTACAGTCATATAACCATACCACAATTAAGGTATAAAACATTTTCATCTCTCTAAAATGTTCCCTCATGGCTTTTTGCAGTCTATCCCCTCTTCCTGTTACCAATCCCTGGCAACGACTGATCTCATTTCTGTTCCTATAGTTTTGTCTTTTCCCAAATGTCATATAAATGCAGACATCTGAGTCTGGCTTCTTTCACTTAGCATAATGCTTCTGAGATTCATCTATGTTGTTGCATGTATCAATAATTCATTCCTGAGCGCACACATTTTTTTTTTTAATTGTACTTCAGGTGAAGTCTTACAGAACAAATCGTTTCTCATGAAACAGTACTATACATATTGTTTTATGACATTGGTTAACAACCCACAACATGTCAACCCTCTAACTTCTCAACCTTTTTTTTTGGTGAAAATACACATAGCCAAAGAAACACCATTTCAAAAATTTCTACATGCACAGTTCAGTGACATTGACTACGCTCTTCCAATTGAGTGCACACATTTTTGAGCAATTTAGAAGTATCCTCTTTATCTCCTAAAAGTGAATGTCTGACTCTTCCTCCCTATTTTATGTAAGCTCCATATATGATTCAGCATGCCCATGAGATCATCTCCTTAGACATACACTACATTTCATCACTACAAGCAAAAAACACTTTTAAAATTCATAAAATCTAATTATCACGAAGATATTGTGGATTTGTAATTTACTGAATATATATATACTGGCAGTATCTCTGAATTAAACAGTTTTGTTTTTTGTTTTTTTTTTTCCATTTACATTATGTTAAGAAATAAAAGTGTAAAAGCTATTTGGTCCCATTAGAAAATTTAATATAACACAAATTTAAAAGTGCTTCATAAAAATGAAATGCAGCAATAAAACTAGGTAAAAATTGCTAGTTTATTAACGTAAGGGAACTCCCATATGAGCAAAGGAGAGATTGGTTTATTTACTCATCTCCTTTGGGACTGCTAAAGAGCAAGCATTACTTTTACATTACAAAAAACGACGCTGAGCTGAGTAATTCAAAATACTTTACATAAACTGTCTCATTAATCTTCACAACATCTTGCTGTACAAGTGAAAATATTATTTATCAATACATATAGTTTTAAAATAAGTCATTGACAAAGGTTAAATTCTTACTCAAAATCAAACGATCTTTTTCTCATCTTGGAGCTTCTTAAGGGCAGAGACTCATTTTATTTCTTTTATAGCCCTGTATCTCCCTGGCACAGAGAAAATGCTCAATATGAGACTGGTTGAATGAGTCAGTATAACACGGGGATTAAGAATATATGCCCTAGAGCAGGGATCAGCAAACTATAACACACAGGTCAAATCGAGCTGACAGCCTATTCTTGCAAATAAAGTTTTACTGGAAGACAACCAAGAGTCCCTGGGTGGTGCAAATGGTTAAGCACTCGGCTACGAACCTTAAGACTGGCAGTTAAAACCCACCCAGAAGTGCCTTGGAAGAAAGGCCTGCAGATCTGCTTCCAAAAGGTCAGAGTCATAAGAACCTCATGGAGGGCAGTTCTGTGCTGCAACACTTGGTGTCACCATGAGTCAGAATCCACTCAATGGCAATTGGTACGGCCGCTTTCATGCTACAACACCAAAGTCGAGTAGCTCCATCGAGGACCACCTGGCCTCAAATCCTAAAATATTTACTGTGTACTGTGTACCCCTTCACAGAAAAAGTCTGCCAATCTCTGCCTTCGAGTCACAATATCCAGGTTCCCATCTCAGTTCTCCCACTTGTTGCATGATGCTGGGCAAGCTGCTTGATTATTCTAAACCTCTGTTTTTTCATCTGTAAAACAGGGATCATAATAGTAGCTATCTCAGAGGCATCAAAACTCAAGCCCCTACCAAGACCAACAAACTAAATGGAACTTTGATTACTTATAGATTGTAAATTGTTTACTAGATTTTAAATGCCTTGACAGACAAGAGTCTTGAAGCCCTCATCTTTGCAGTCCCCCACCCTAAAACCACAGTGCTTTGGATACACTAAAACCAAACCAGTTGCTGTCAAGTCGATTCCTACTCATAGCACCCTCTAGGATAGAGCAGAACGGCCCCATGGGGTTTTCAAGATTGTAATCTTTAGGAAGCAAACTACCCCAGCTTTCTCCTTGCAGTTAGCGAAGCACTTAACCATTACGCCACAAAGGCTTCAGCCTCTGACATAGCAGGCTTCAAAATAAGCATGTCTTAAAGGGAAAGTACAAGTTGCTATAAGGCAGTGGCATTACTATGGTTCATGTCACCCAGTGTGGCAAGTCATTGCGTCACTCCTCTGTCCCCTTCCCATCCCGCCCGGGGTGGGCGGGGCCAGCTGGAGAACCGCCCACCAGTGGGCACAGCATCCTTACCTGGCCCAGCCCTTTCTCATCCTCGGGCCCCTACCCCGCAGCTCCCCGCAGCTCCTCCCCTTGCCCATAGGCCAAGGCAGAGACCGTCCTCTCAATCCAGACTGGCAAGTGGGGAGGGAATGAGTTACCGCACTGGGTGGCAGGTGACACAAACCCTAGTGATGTCACTGCCTTGGTGGCCCCTCCCCTGGCAGCGCCACGGACCCTGAGGTCATTTTGGTGTTATCCCCTCTGACAGTGTTACGGGGTGCAGTCTACACCCCTCTACCCAGCTAGCGACGCCACTGCTTTAGGTAGGCTCTGAGTGAATAATTTATCTGAGTAAGTATTACTTTTGGCTCTTTAATTACTTGTTTATAGGAAATATGAAAAGGCAAGAAAAATTGTGAGGGTAGAATTTAAATGATACAATTTACACATCTAAACTTAAAAATAAAATAAAACCTACCCACCTCATAGTAGTTTAACAAAATTGTACTGTTTAACAAAGTAGGCATTTGTAGTGTCACCTGCCATGGTTGGGCTGTGGTTAACATCACCTAAAAGAATACAGGTGCAGATAGGTGTCAAAATACAAATTAGGCATCAATAGTTTTAAAAGGAAGAGATTTTATTTGCTAGAAATATGAACAGTTTGGTGGGCATATTTGATAAAATAATTCTTCGGCCCCAAATCACATCAATCAGTGTTGCGCTTTTTTTTCCGCGTCCCCGAACGCCAGAAAAAAAATAGCAAGATTTGATCTTTCCACAGCTCCTCCTAATTTCACACACTGCCTAAACATGTAAATTTATGCAAAAGCAAAATGCTATTTTAGCCTTTCCTGACAGAATCACTTTCATTAAGTGATCTTCTTATAAAAACAAACATGCTGAGTTACTCCTGCAAATCCAAAGACTGAGAGCTAGTTATTATGGTTACAAGGAACAATGAACATTTTTCACCTAATTGTTTTCTCTATAGACACTAGTGAGTTTTTTTTTTTTAAACCACAGATCCTATTTAACATGAGGAATCTCTGTAGTTTTATCCAGAACCCCAGGTAAAACCTTCATACTTTACCTTCAGATACGTCTTCCTTCTGTGCTAGTGAGTGGCTTCATAATAAAAGGTAGTGAGAAACTATGCACAGGATGCCCTGGTCCATTTAAGGAACTGCAGGAGGTTCTGAAGGGCAGAAGCACAGGGTGCAAGGAAAGGAGCACTGAGAGTGATGCTGGACAGAAAGACAGAGGGGGACACAATAAGAGCCTATCATGTGACAGCTGCAAGTATACACAGCAAATCATTTCATTTTTATAGTACCTGGGGAAGGTATAGGGTCACTATAAGTCGGAAGGGACTTGATGGCAACGGATTTGGTTTTTTGGGGTTTTTTGTTGTTGTTGTCAGACAGATTAAGAAATTGAGGCTCAACTGCCTCCTTTGCCATGAGACCAGAAGAACTAAATAGTGCCTGGCTTCCATTACTGAACATTTTGATCAAAGAGTCTACAGAAGAATCCTGATCATAAGGGGGGAAATACAAGAATGGAATTTCAAATTCTCATGGACTCCAGACTTTCTGGAGCCATGGAGGCTGGATAACCCCCTGAAATTATTGCCCTAAAATAATCTTTAAACAAAACATATGCCCTGAAGTCTTCTTAAAACCAATTAACAGTTTAGCTTAACTAGTAACAAATGTCTGCCTTGAGCATTATGCTCTTTTAAGAACTATCTATATGGAATCAAAGTGACAACAGCAACTTGAAAGACTGGATAAGAATCTTAGTGGGCAGTCACTTTATGCTAATGGGAGATGAACAACTCAGAACAGGAGGGTGAGACAAAACCAGGCAAAGACACCACAAAAACAGAAAACTACAGACCAATACCTCTCATGACTATAGAAGCAAAAACTCACAACAAAATTCTAGTCAACAGAATTCATCATCATATCAAACAAATAACACACCACAAACAAGTGGGATTCATACCAGGTATGCAAGGATGGTTCAACATTAGAAAATCAATCAACATAATTCACCACATAAATAAAAGAATCACATGATCATCTCAATAGACACAGAAAAGGCATTCGACAGTCCAACACCCATTCCTGATAAAAACTCTCAATAAAATAAGTATAGAAGGGAAATTCCTCAACATAATAAACTGCATCTATACAAAACAGCCAACATCATTCTTAATGGAGAAAGGATGAAAACATTCCACTGAGAACAGAAACAAGACAAGGATGCCCTTTATCACCACTCCTATTTAACATTATGCTGGAAGTCCTAGCTATGCTGGAAGTCCTAGCTAGAGCAATAAGGCAAGAAAAAGAAATAAAGGGCACCCAAATTGGTAATGGAGAAGTAAAACTGTCCCTAATTTGCAGATGATATTATACTATATATAGAAAACTCAAAAGACTCCACAAGAAAACTACTGGAACTAATAAAAAGATTCAACAGAGTAGCAGGATGTAAGGTAAACATACAAAAATCAGTTGGATTCTTATACAGCAATAAAGAGAACAACGAAAAGGAAATCAGGAAAACAATACCACTTATAAAAGCTCCTAAAAAAAATAAAATACTTAGAAATAAATCTAACCAGGGATGTAAAAGACCTATACAAAGAAAACTACAAAACGCTACTGCAAGAAACCAAAAGAAATCTACATAAATGGAAAAACATACCATGCTTGTGAATAGGTAGACTCAACATTGTGAAAATGTCGATTCTACCCAAAACAATCTACAAATACAATGCAATTCCAATCCAAATACAAACAACATTCTTTAACAAGATAGAAAAACTAATTATTAACTTTATATGGAAAGGGAAGAGGCCCCGGGTAAGTAAATCACTACTGAAGAACAAGAATAAAGTAGGAGGATTCGCACTATCTGACCTCAGAAACTACTATACAGCTATGGTAATCAAAACAGCCTGGTACTGGTACAATGACAAATACATTGACCAATGGAACAGAATTGAGAACCCAGATGTAAATCCATCTACCTATGGTCACCTGATCTTCGATAAGGGCCCAAAGTCCACCAAAAGGGGAAAAGACAAGTCTTTTTAACAAAAAGTATTGGCCAAACTGGATGTCCATCTGCAAAAAAATGAAACAGGACCCATACCTCGCATAATACAAAAAAACTAATTCAAAATGGATCAAAGACCTAAATATAAAACCAAAAACTATAATGATCACAGAAGAAAAAATAGGATCAATGCTACAGGCCCTAATACATGGCATAAACAGGATACAAACCATAACTAACAACACACAAACTCCAGAAGCTAACTACGTAACTGGGATCTTCTAAAAATTAAACACTTAGGCTCATCAAAAGAATTTACCAGAAGAGTAAAAAGAGAACCTACAGACTGGGAAAAAAATTTTGACTATGACAAATCTGACAAAAGTCTAATCTCTAAAATCTACAGGAAAATCCAACACCTCTACAACAAAAAGACAAATAATCCAATTAAAAAATGGGCAAAGGATATGAATAGACACTTCACCAAAGAAGACATTCACTTGGCTAACAGACACCTGACGGAATGCTCCCGATCACTAGCCATTAGAGAAATGCAAATCAAAAGTACAATGAGATACCATCTCACACCAGCATTACTGGCACAAATCATAAAAACAGAAAATAACAAATGTTGGAGAGGCTGCGGGGAGACTAGAACTCTTAATGCACTGCTGGTAGGAATGCAAAATGGTACAACCATTTAGGAAAACGATACGGCGCTTTCTTAAAAAGCTAGAAGTAGAAATACCATATGATCCAGCAATTCCACTCCTAGGAATATAGCCTAGAGAAATAAGAGCCATCGCACGAATAGACATATGCACACCCATGTTCATTGCAGCATTATTCACAATAGCAAAAAGATGCAAACAACCTAGATGCCCACCAACAGATGCATAGATAAACAAAGTATGGTACATGCACACCTTGGAATACTACTCAACGATAAAGGACAATGATGAATCTGCAAAGCTTCTCACAAAATGGATGAATCCGGAGGGTATTATACTGAGTGAAATAAGTCAATCACAAAAGGACAGATACTTATGAGATCACTACTATAAAAACTCATGAAAAGATTTACACACAAAAAGAAACAATCTTTGATGGTTACAAGGGAGGAGAGAGGTGGGGAGGGAAAAACATTAACTAGACAATAGATAAGTGGTAACTTCGGTGAAAGGTAAGACAGTACATAATACTGGGGAAGCCAGCACAACTTGACAAAGGCAAGGTCATGGAATCTTCACAGACACATCCAAACTCCCTGAGGGACTGAATTGCTGGGCCAAGGGCTGTGGGGACCATGGTCTGGGGAAAATCTAGCTCAATTGGCATAACGGTTTATAACGAAAATGTTCTACATTCAACCTTTGTGAGTAGCATCTGGGGTCTTAAAAGCCTGTGAGCAGCCATCTAAAACACTCCACTGGTCTCACCCCTTCAGGACCAAGAGAGAATGAAGAAAACAAGATACAAGGAAAATATTAGTCCAAAGGACTAATGGACCACAACTACCACGGCCTCCACCAGACTGAGTCCAGCACAACTACATGGTGCCTGGCTACCACTACTGACTGCTCTGACAGGAATCACAATAGAGGGTCCCAGATGAGCTGGAGAAAAACATAGAACAAAATTCTAACTCACAAAACAAGACCAGACTTACTGGCCTGACAGAGACTGGAGAAACCCCAAAAGTATGGCCCCCGGACACCCTTTTAGCTCAGTAATGAAGTCACTCCCAAGGTTCACCCTTCAGCCAAAGATTAGACAGCCCAAAAACAAAACGAGACTAATGGGGCACAACAGTCCAGGGACAAGGACTAGAAGGCAGGAGGGGACAGGAAAGCTGGTAATAGGGAACCCAAGGTTGAGAAGGGACAATGTTGACATGTCATGGTGTTGTTAACCATTGTCATAAAACACTATATGTACTGGTTTTTTTTTTTTTTAATTAAACAATTAAATAAAAAGAAAGAAAATGTTCTACATTCTACTTTGGTGAGTAGCATCTGGGGTCTTAAAAGCTTGTGAGTGACCGTCTAAGATCTCCACTGGTGTCACCCTGTTTGGAGCAAGGGAGAATGAAGAAAACAAAGACACATGGGAAAGATTAGTCCAAAAGACTAGTGGACCACAACAACCACAGCCTCCACCAGACTGAGTCCAGCACAACTAGATGGTGCCCAGCTACCACCACTGACTGATCTGACAGGGATCATAATAGAGGGTTTCGGACAGAGCTGGAGAAAAATGTAGAACAAAATCCTAACTCACACAAAAAAAGACCAGAAGTACTGGTCTGACAGAGACTGGAAAAACCTCGAGTATGGCCTCCGGACACCCTTTTAACTCAGTACTGAAGTGACTCCTGAGGTTCACCCTTCAGGCAAGATTAGGTAGGCCCATAAAACAAAATGAGACTAAATGAGCACACCAGCCCAGAGGCAAGGACGAGAAGGCAGGAGGGAACAGGAAAACTGGTAATGGATGG